ATTCTCATTTCTCTACTAGGATTTTAGATCGGGCTCGCAGTTGGTATAATTTTACCGTAAACAGACTTCTTAGATTGTTTTTAGTCGACTCGGGGATAAGCACGAATTCATTGATCACGCAAAGAGAGCACATAAAAAACATTTTAACACGCTCCTAGGTGTATATATGAGCTTGAATGAGATTGTTTTCGAGTTAAGATGTAAGGGGTAAGGTCTGATAAAAATTATGATATACCTATTAATATGAATAACATGCATTTGATCTGCGCATCAAGACGGAAGCGTAAGTGAAAACGTTGTGAAATGTCCCATGTGTACCTGCATCATATGTGCATTATACATGTATTAAAGAGATGTTTGAAAATATCCGATTTGAGTTGTTTAATGTTTGAAATGGATGGCGATAAATTATTTAAGAGCATGTGAGAAACATAGCGAGAGATGCAAGGCAGTTTGTAATTATGGAAAAGGAAAACAGAGAATCGGGTTCGGGTTTTAACATTCCTGACCGAAATATGCATGAAATTCAATGTAAGTAGTAAATAAAATTCCAAACATGTAATTCTAGATGGGAAACACAGGGAAGAAACGTGTATTTCTTTTTACTATGCTGAAAGTCGCTATTTCTTGGGATTGTGTTATTCTAGGGGAAAAAAAAAATCAAATTTCAGATGAAATCAAGATTCATTCCATTAATATTAAATCCAAATAAAATTGAAATAAATTCCATACACTAAAGAACACAAGAATACTTGGTATTAAAATGTCGTAATAGAGCAGGAGAATCGAATGATATTAACAACAATTGCAGAAATAGCCAATACGGGCTTTAATTAATTTTTATGCTCAGCAATAACTAAATTTCAGACAGAAAAAAAAATGCAGATTTTGCCGATTTTCACTAGTATTTCATTATATTTCAGAGACTCACCTTAAAACTCTCAGGACACTTTCTTTAAGGTCTCTTCTTGCTTTTACTCCGAATCTTATGTCGATATATCGTGATTTTTGACTTGTAGACATTTTTTCTATGCTGCTGTTGGATTTTTTTTTTAAGAAAAGGGGGGGGATATAAGCATTTGTTAGAGTAAGAGTTGCAAATACCTCAACGACCTTAAGCTTGATTGTGACCTTTGGGTCAATAGAGGGTCAAAGGTCAAGGTCATTTATCAAGGTCAAAGGTCAAGGTCATCAAAAAAAAAAAGAGAGAGAGATAAACTTGAGATTAACACTTGAAGCTGAATGTAGATAAAGGTAATGAATATTTCTTTATAACTTTTTGAGTAAGGGGTCATAGGTCAAGGTCAAATATCAAGGTCAAAGGTCAAGGTCATTTGGATTTTAAGCTTAAATCGACAATTTCTCTAGTTTTTCAATGACCTTGACCTTTGACCTTGACCTACTCTTCAAGGTCAAAGGTCAAAAGATCTCATGCAGTTGGGCCCATGTCTTTACGACTTGTCATTAAGAAGTTTTTAGTTCTTCGTAAACATCATAAACTGGCAGGGGCAATAACTACTGGAAATGGTTTACGAATTCTTTCACACTAATAGAATGAGAAGTGTACTAAGTTAGTCGCAGACATTGTTGAAGGTTTTGTACCTCTACGGTTTACGGTTTCGGAGGAGTAGTGATAACAAGGGTTTACACTGAAAGGGGCACTAACTTTTAGAGGGTTCAATCTTAGGGGTCAAGCATGGAATCTCTAAAATGGTTTTAAGAGTACATACTAAAGATGCAAAGATGTTGAGAATTTGGTTAAGAACAAAAGAGCTATAGAAAATGCTTAATTTTACATATTTTAAATGACTTTGACCTTTGACCTTGACCTAGATTTGAAGGTCAAAGGTCAACAAATCTTTTGCAGTTGGTCCCATGTCTCTACGCCTTGTCGTTTTAGAAAAGTTCTTGATATTCGTAAACATCGCAAACATTCAGGGGCAATAATTCATTATAGGAGGTTACGAATCCTTTCGCAATGTTTGATTGGAGAGTCTACTAAATCAGTCGTAAACATTAATTAAGGTTTGGAATCTCTGCGGTTTACGGTTTCGGAGAAGTAGCGATAACAAACATTTCTTGCAAAAGGGGCAATAACTTCGAAAGGGGTCAAGGTTCATTTACGCAGGGTGAACTGCAATAATCTTTTACGGAGTACATTCTTATGGACTATAAATCTTTTCGATAAATGTTCAAACAAAAAAAACATGCGGCGGAAAAATAATAAAAAAAAAAAAGAATAATAAACAGAAGAATATCAATAGGTCTTTCCACAGAAAATGAAATATATTATGATGAGAAACAAAACTTGTCATATTTTTTTTAAAAATAACACTAATCGGAAGCAAAACATTTACAGGACTAAAAAATTAGGAGTGAGATGGGATTCTTTTTCTATGGATGGTCACTATCCCCTAAATACTGAACACACGCGCCATGTGGTACAGGAATATTAAATAGCGTAAAAAATATTTAATCAATAGTATTTGAAAAGTCGTTCAGTATTTTAAATTAATGATAAATTGTTTTTGCTGACAAGGACATTGTGTCAGTTATTGTATTCTCCCTACCTTCGAGATATTTTTCTCCCCAAAACCCTCTGTCACATCCATTTAAACATGTTCCATTGTTGCGGTTACATTGTTCTGAGTTCAAACATGAGCCACATGACTGATTACAGTATTGCCCGTACCTCTGATGTTCACATTCTGCAACAAACAATCTTATTTTTTAAAAAAATATGCATAATTTTGTCAGAAAATGTAATATTAAACGAGAGAAATTGTTTCAAATATATATTGTACGTGTACATTACTGCTGTATTCAAAATTATGCGTATTCATTGGGTATTGACTTGTTGACCTAACCATGACTCTACGTTCAGAGTATTGTATATGTAAATGATTTCTCAGCAGTATTCATAAATTAGTGCATTGATGTCTGCACCAAAACCGCTGAAATATGAGGCCCGTTTTTTTTTTAAAGTACACATACAGTATATACGAGGGGCATTTCAAAACCTCTGGCAACTGTTTAATAAAAAAATTTCACGGAAATTTTACGTTTTACGGAAATTGTTGTGTTAGATATCATTTGAAAGTTAGAAAATATATATAGACATATTGTGAGGTCACATTTTAAGTTTTACGACTTAATAACTCCGGAAGTGACGTCAGAATAAAGAATATTTAGCATTCTGAAATGTTGCGTTATTTTATCCACTTGAGAAGATCGTAAAAGTGCTGCCAATGGCTAGTTTGAAAACATATTTCAAAGAAAATTTAATTTGCAAAGAGATAGAGTAGGACTATGATACTGATTATCAGCAATTCCATTATTAATTGCATGATTTGTTTACGAGCACGGTTTATGTCCGGTTATGCTATAATCGACATTTATTTCAGATTTTTATTTACATGATACGGGTGGATTGTCGGTCTTTTAAAAAGCTCTCCATTGTTTGAAATAAAACATGTCCTGTAATAAAATGAAGTGTATTAATGCAGTTTTCATCAAATATATTTTGAGGGACAGGACTCCTACCGATTACGAATAAAATGTATCAAATATTGTCCCTAACTTGATTTTGCGTGTATTTCTTCATTTTAATTCAACTTCGGCGCCCCTAAACTCACTGCTGCTTTTGACTTTTAAATCTATAAGATGAATATAAGTTACACAGATATGTAAAGTCTTTTTTTTATTTTCCATGTATTCAAATTTGCGAATATGTGGAGGTAATTTGGGGCTACAACTGCGCTGCCGCCATTTTTGATTTTACAAGAAAATATGGGGCACATTAAACTTAACATCTCTTGAGCCTTCATCGATCCCACAAATCTCGTTAAAACACCTGACAAATTTATGTTATCAAATTTTGTAACTCAATAAGTTCCGTAAAACGATTAATTTATTAATAAATAGTTGCAACAACTTTTAAAATACCCCTCGTATGTTCATTTTAACTGATGTTTAGATGTCTTCCTAAATTCTAATTATCAATCGTGTTAAAGTTTCCATATTGTAGATAATTTCTAAAACGAAATTAAACAAAGAGAAAAAAGCAAGTACTACCATTTTCGCAAAATGTCCCTTTCCATCCAGCAAGACATCCAAACTCACAAATACCAGTAAACCTGTTGCATCCAAGGCAGTTTGTTTTACAAATTTCATCGCAATTTTTTCAATGTCTTCCGAAAGGGCATGCTGTGAGAAAAAAGATTGAACGGCAAAGGTACTGAAATTTTTAAATTATAATGTATTGTTGTAAAAATATTGACAACTTCTACAATAGCAATCATCAACTCTGCGTGCCTCGAAATTTTAAAGTGAATTCTTTATACTGTACTTTATGAGGCAAATGAATATGAACTTGAATATGAATTTGATCATGTGCTTTTAATCGATTTTTTAAAAAAATTATGATCTTGTTATCAGTTTTATAATGTTTTAGCCTTACATTCTGTGACATTAATGGTCTTTTCCTCTCCAAGTTTAGATCTTGATATTATTTTTCATACATTCCTTTTCTCAATCTACAAGATTCTTTTTTTACCTTTATCACATGCTTCTCCTTGAAAACCTTTGTCACATCCGTTTGGACAACTTCCATTCACGTGATTACATTGTTCGCCAACACTACACAGGTGAAAGAACACTCAAGGCCGTATTTATTTCTATCACAATCTGTAAATGAAACTCATTTTATTCTACTTACCATTGAAACCTGAAAATAATCTTGGTTATACAATCATGTAATCATTGTTGCATTTAGTTTAAACTTCTTTGTGAAATATTTTTTTAATCTCATCAATGTCAAAATACGTCAATAAATAATAATAAATATCAATTCAGAGTTACTCTTTGTTTGAGTGCAAAACATTCGAGAAGTCAGGGAGAGGGCTCATTCACACCTTACTTATCAAGAGTAGGGATAGGGTGTAAGGTTATTTCAGCAGAAGATATTCAATTTCCGAAATTTCAGTTCCCCCACCTCTTTCTCACTCAAATACGTACTTTTTTTTACATCGTTCTCCTTTGTATCCGGCAACACATCCAAGACATGTACCATTAACAATATCACAATGTCCCTCCTGACAATTCTGTGGACAGGGAACATTACAGTGTTTTCCAAAAACACCCGAGGTAGAACATCCTTTATGAAAAAAAAGATACATGTATCATTGAGCATTTTTCTTGCTTTAATTAATAATTATGTTTAAATTATAAAGAATTAAATTTCAAAATTAAAAATACACAGAAATTTATGAGAGCCATCAATATTTTAAACACAAGCTGCATAGCCCAGGTCGACGACGTTAGATCTGTAAAAATGTCATTAAAAGGAATACCATATCTTCATCAAATAGCAGTGATTTTCCACTTCTTGAAGTTGTCTCCGAAACTTTATACACCGATGAAAAAATATCAGTACTAAATATTTTCCAATAAATCTAAGTTCGTTCAATAAATATTTTTGTATCAGAAGACGTTTCAAGCATATTAAATATAACTGTATCATTGAACAATGTCCATTTCATATGACCAGTGTCGCTTTTTCTTTCAATTTGAAAAAAAATACTTCTTGAGGCTTTCATATATTTACATTGTCTATTTAGCAAGAGATACTAAATGTATCAGAAAACGGCGATAACCGCTTTATTTGTGATATATTATTCATTTTTACTAAATCAATCAGTTTTTGACTCGTATTAAAAAGAAAATATTCAATTCAATCAGATCATTTTACTTAAAAGTTTATGCCATTTTAACCCTGGTGCACACTATAGTCTACATTAAATAATTCAGACTTTAACAAAAATATAACGTTCACACAATAAAAATATTCAAATCTGAATTTTCATAACTAATATTTTGGTATACAATAAGCATATCTTAAACCATTCATTTTGACAAAAACGTTACTGTTCATTTACTTTTTGGACAATCCTGGTACTTAAAATAGTTAAATCTAAATAACTATATTAAACTGCAGTTTTTGTACTCAATGCTTAAGTTTGCTTTCTTTTCATTTACTATGAAATTTACAATAAATTTATCTACATATGTACAATGAAAAAACACGGCTGAAAGTTCAATCATGGTTGTCACGCGAGTCTCACACCACGTTCCAACGTCATCCACGGTCCACCATATTGTCCATATTGTCCACCATAGTGTCCCGCCCGGTCCACCATATCCTAAGTAGCCTTACGACGTAAACAAATCCTCCCGTCCAAATAAAGCTAATATACAATTTTGGTCACCTACAATTTTCATAGGGTTTTCTAATAAAACATTCAAAACACATGTCTATTCAAAATACTAGATTTTACAAACAAATTACAATAGAAAACATGTATTTTTGCCGTTTAACAATTGCTAACAGTTTTACATAGAATATTGCTTTTTAAAGCTAACAACAAAAATATGGTAAAGTGTAAAAGCTTACTGAGCTGTGGCATTTTTTACATAAAAACCATACTGTCGGCCCCAAGGTCTTGCTCTCAACGCCGCTACAAAACATCCCTGAATCCCAAGATCACACAGCAGGGAAACAGCTAAAACACACCCAAGTTCACACAGCATGGGTTATATAAAAGGCACACCCAAGATCCCTAAGCATGGGTAAAGTATACATTGTAACTCACGGCGTCCAGACCACATCTGATGAACACTAGCCAACACCCAGTATAAATAACTGACCAAACTACTCAAACGGGTTCGACAAGTATACGTTGATAAAAATAGCAACAAGTACAACCCAGTGACCAATAGTGCGTAAATGTAATAATCGATAACTCCTAATGGCCAAATAAAGATAACTCTTACAAATACCTGTACAATAAGCTATATGTAATATAAAACATTGACATAATACCACTTGTGATAAAATACAACATTCGGAATTTATATTCAAAATAACTATATATGTATTTAAACCATTGATTAAATTCAGATAAAATTTCAATTGACATAGTTTGCAAAGCTATATATATTATATAGACACAGACTCGTGTTTCCTCTGACGATCAGTCCATGAGGCATTTAACTCTTTAATAACAATCATCGAAATTTAATGAGAGGATATTCCGCGGATTAGATTTCATTTTTCAGGGAGTAGTGTCTTCCCGGGGAGTCAGTCGCTCGGCCAAGTGGTAAGAGCGTCTGCTGTTAAGTCTCAAAGTAAAAATTGATCCTTGTGTCAAAGGTTTAGATCCCACTGAGAGGAATGGAGACCTGTCCTTCGAATTAGACCAGATAAAACTTATGCCGCAGTAGGTGCTGACATGAAAATCACCTCTCCCTGCTTACTGGCCCCAAGTGCACAAGTATAGGAAAAAGTTTGCTGCTCTCCACTGGCAAGTGGTGGCGTCTCCATATGAGTGGAAGTACTTGAGAGGGATGTAAATTGATATGCAATCGATCAATCTGCCCGGGGAAATGCACAATATAGTATCATTCATTTCATTAGGAGTCCGAAAACTTGGCAGCACACATCAATTTTTTTTTCTTTGCATATTAGAACTGAGGACAACAGTACCTGTTTTCACTGCATAGTTTGTTTCTACAATAGTTGACACTAGTTTACTGTAGTGTCCTATTTTTTTCTCATGTAGATCAAAGCGTCCCAAATAATGAATTGCATTTTGCAATATTTTATATAAGAAAACTCAAAGTATTTTTTCTATAATTAATAGAAATGTCACATGTAATTATACAATGTATATTAATATTTAAATAATTGTTATTATTGAATTTAAGTTGATCTTTTAAGCAACTATATATCTACAGATTATATGTAACATCTTCACTGTAGCGTTACTGGAATATGATTTTTAATTGATATATGGAAATGTCCCCCAACTATCCATGATCAGAATTACACTGAATATTTTTCCATATTGTTTCTTATAAAGTAATTATTTTTGAAACTCACAACCTGCATAAATGAAAGAAGATCTAAATGTTATAATATTATATCATGGCAAGAAGAATGCAGGAACTGAGAAACATATTCTTTTTTTTATTAATAAACGCTAACCTTTTGATATTCATGTAAAACAAATGAGAAAAAAATAGTTCTCAAAACAATTTCAAAATGAAATTCATGCATAGTTTAAAATAATATATTTGATGTTTAATTCTTTAAAATACAAAATACTTTACTAAGATTACCATTTATTTATGAGTAATACTAATTGTTCTTTTTTTTTTTTATTCATATATGGTTCTGCACGATATATGCCCTCATAAGCAATTTCTGACGGGGAAATGTATAATAATTATGTTTTAAATCAGGGGGGTATCTGCATACTTACCAACATTAAATATTTTCATACACCATGTTCTCATATATTTTATATAGCTTTATAAAATGGTGTAAATTTGATATGTTTATGCAACGCTGGGGTCTTTATTTTAAGAATTGTTTTATATTTTTTAAGAATAGCAAACATTAATCATAGTCCTACTGCTTAAACTGTTTTGTTCTCTTACCAAAAATTTCAAGTTCACACAGTTCGTTGAATGCATATTGAGAATATCCAGCAGGGTAGGTAACCCAAGGAAGTCTCTCATTGTAGTAAATGACGTAACGTCCGTGCTTTATACATTCTATTGTTATAGTATTCGGTATTGTAGTTCTGGTGTACTTTGAGTCTTTAAAGCAAAGGACACCCTCATTTTTCTCAGTTGTGTTGGAGACGTAAACTGACATACCCAGAAATCGAGCTGTGTAATCATTGCTGGAATCTAAAATATTAGAAAGGAGAAAATGGGTAATTTAGTGCGTGAAGGATTTGCCTTCTTGAATTCTAAAATCCACCAATTATACTTGGATCCACGCTCTTCATATAAAGTTGTCGAATTTTTTTAAAAAATAATTTTTTTGTTTTTCCTCAACTAAGATTGCGAACTACGTTGAAGTATATTATTAACACCGTTAATTATTTGCTTGTTATTAAAAGGATTTTCTTACACATAAAGAAAACTCTAATGAGCTTATACTGTATGCTACGATCTAAAGTATATTAGATAAAGATGCGTATTTTGAAATTATTTAATTCATTTTCAACATAGGGTACCTGCCTTTATTCTGCGAGAAATATGTTTAAAGTCAATGAAGTATTTGTGAAATTAATGGAAATAATTAATTCAATTAATTAATTAATTATTATAGGTCTAATATAATGCTAAATATATTTTAGTATGTGAGAAATTGTAATTAATTGTAATAACCCTTTATCTCAACATTAAGGGCAGATCACTCGTACAGCATAAAACAACCCTTCAAATGAAATACTTTGGTGAAAAAGTATTGCAAACGGAAATACTGTGAAATCATTAATTTTCGTGGGGGTTTAATTTTCGTGGTTTAAAAGATGTGAAGTGACCCACGAATTCATGTCCACAACGAAAAGTAAAATGGCATATATAGACTGCTCAACAATTCTTCATCCACGAAATCAAATCCCCACGAACCAGTAGATTTTCATCAAACCACGAAAATTTGACCCCACGAAAATATGTGATTTTACAGTATAATAACAGCGAAAAATGTTATAAAACGGGATTATTGTCTTTTGCATTAAATATAACATTTTGCTAATTTACTATGCAAAGCCATAGCTGCCTTGTGTGGCTATTTCATAATATACTTTTTTTTATGAAGATGGTGCTCTATTATATTATGCTGTGTTTTTTTTATATGAAGGTAGGCATATTTAATACGCCATTGCTAGTTTCTGCTCTTTTTTCCATAGGCGCTTTGTTTAAGTAGGAACGGTGTATTTTGTGTATTATGTTTTTTTTTTCTAGATGTGTCTGAAAAAATCGATAACATATCATATATATTATATAATATAATATTGTTAATATTACCCCCCACCTTTTTCCAAACAATACCTTTACTATTGAAAATGTCCAGTGAAAGGTTGGTTGCCCCCCCTCCCCTTCTTACCACCGTATATTGATATAAAGGAAATGAAGTATTGTATGCCACAAAATTGAAAGAAAAAGGAAGCTGGCCTTGGAAAAAGTTAGCCACATTACCCCCCTCCCCCCACCCCCTCCCTCCGAATTCGGAGTTTGGTCAATTTTTTTTTTTTTTTTTTTTTGCTTTTCAACTTTTACCGGTAATTAATTTTTTTCTCCCCCCCCTCAAATTTCAAAAACGATGGTACGTGCTTGTGATGTATGGGATCAAGAAATCCGGAAATTAGACACAAAATATATAATGAAACAAATGGATAAAAAATTTGGGGAAAACAGAATATCATCTCTCAGTTGATTCGATATGCAAGAGCAAGCTCTGTGAATTATTTTATTAAACAAGGTACATGTATATTGTTGAAAAACAGGTTTCGGAAATAACAATAACTGCAATCTTGTTTAAAAAATTTTTTCGCAAGTTCTGTGGTCGATACAATGAAATACTATAAATCATTTAATTTTGATTTTGAGTCCAATGTTGTATGACGTTTTTCATACTTATTGTTAAGTCATTATATATACACTGAATTGTCGACATATTTTCCTTTTTTTTTTTGACGGTCGTGACAAAGAAAACAAGGCGGATGTGACCGGTCAGCAGGGGCTGATCACTTCTCCATGACACCTAATCCCACCCCTTATGTTCTCCATGTCTATGTTTGATGTGCTCCCATTTTGAAATTAAAGACAAATCTTCAATACTGTTTGTTATTGACATTTCATGTAGATAATTTCTGAATATCGATTTATTTTCAATCAATCGGAATAGCCATCATCTGCCTTTGAAGACTGACTGATTGATTGGTTGATCGCTTATAGTGTAACGTACCTTTCGCAATATTTTTTCTCTAGTCATGGAAATGTTTATACATAATTCTACGTTTTTAATATCTGTAACGGAGCTGAAAAAAGAGTGGAACCCGGCCCTCCTGTTAACGAGCTGATCACACTGAGAAAAGTAAACTGTATAAGCTTAATTTTGATAAAAATCGATACCCCTTTCTGTAAAATTATCATATATTGATACAAAATTGTTTGAAAAACGTATTTCTATATTAATCTTGGATTCATTTTCTGATTTTAAAACGGATTGACATTTATATTTAAAAATCCATGGTTGTTGTAATATTAAAGCAAAAGAGTTTGATAAATCAGTACCCCATTCTACATTGTCTGTCCTGTAGTAGATTTTAATTAGACGGATACTGTGTACTTCTCCTAGATCTACTCGCCAGGTTGCAGTTTGTTGATCATCTTTCGATATCGTACACTGTCCTCCATCAGCTGACCGGTCTGAATACAACCCATCTACTGCTTTATCTGCTCCCCATGGCTTGTTCCAATAGGGAAACTGCTGCCATGCAGGCTTTTGTAATGCAAGGTTTTCTATAATATGACGTGTAGAAAAATATTTGTAAAAAAAATCGTTAATTCTTTTATATTTACATTCAGTATAATTTTCCTTATCAAATCCATTAGAAATCCACGACGTTCAAATTTCTATAACACACGCGAAACCTTGTCACCGCGCGTTAAAATACACAGTAGGAACTATATGCATTTTCAATATTCTAGAAAGACCAAAATGTAAAATGTTTTATTTCAATTTAATGAAAAACTACAACCCTGAAAAATTAACGTAGAAATTAACGAAATGTGCTTTAAGAATTAATTTGTCACATTTTTAATCGCAATGTTTGTTTGCGTAATTTAACTTTACAACGTCACTTAACGTCATCTGACGTCACAAACAGCTCTTACGTCTATTAACCACGTTAGTTTTGAAGGGCGTTAAATTCACATTAAATGTTAACGAAATAAACAATTATGAAGAAGGAAAATTAGAGAATGTAAATATCAGCATTAAATTCATAATTTTGGCTGTCTTCGGTCCTATAACACACCTGGCCGTGCCGACAAATTTATCACACCGCGCTAACACGCGGTATTCAATTTGTCGGCACGGCCAGGTGTGTTATAGGACCGAAGACAGCCAAAATTATGAATTCAATGCTTAAATGATTATTGACCGGAAAAAAAAATCTTACATGTAATCGCACGATAAGGAAGTTAGTGTCATACATGTAAATGTTTTAGAGAAATTGCTGGAGAAACGAAGAAATGGATAATCTACAGTTGTAAGTAGGGGAAAAAAACTTACCATAGCCAAATGTAACAGTCACAATCATGACCAAAAGACCAAAACAATTGAAGAATACCACTCTTTCGTCCATCTTAAAATGAATAAATGAATCATTACAACAAAAAATATATGTTAATCATTTTTCCTTAACTGAATAAAGAAATAAGGAAGATAACATGATTTATTTTACATTCTATATAAATTAAATTGGAGATTGGGGAAGTAAAGGCATTACAAAGAAATATATGTACATAATTACAATATAGGACATGAACTAGTAGTGGACATATTTTATATTTATATTTAATACGGAAGACATTATGTACTTAAAGAATTGCGTATCTAAAATAAAATAAAACACCTTTTAAATTAAAATTGATATGTCAAACATCGCTAAGGGCATTTTTACTTTTGTACAATTTGATAAATAAAGAGATTAAAGCTCTGACATGTGTATCTAATGCAAGAAATGGTTGAAATAGGATTTAAAGGAGGCGACAACGAATGAAAATGCAGGTGTTTTAGGGGGCGTCCTGAGTACATTCTAAAGATAGCCTGTAAATACTTATTGAGTTTGAGTGTATTTTGAGACCTGAAATAAGGTTGTTTGATTATTTTTTTTTTCTTACAGTCGAACGAACAGGAAAATTACTTAAAATTCAAGAAATAATGATATAAGGGAGGAAAGAGACCACTTTGCAACGTTAAATGAATATTCTGAATAGTATTATTTTAATTTGGGGGACCCCGCCAGCACCCTTTGCTCCTTGACAGTAACTTAAAACGCCAAACTAGATCATAAGAAACATTAATTGAAAAGGACACATATCCATAAGTTCATTTATGTATACGAAGGAATTTATGTGATCTAAATATTGGAAGTTTTTTTGGTGTTTTGATTTATTAATAATGCCGTATTAATACTTGGGACTGAGGGTTTTATTCCGGAGTATAGTTTCTAAGCGCCCTCTATTGACGGCTATTATCCTAATCCATATCAGAATAATGTTTGGGTCCAAAATCCGTGGTTTGAAAGTTTTATCCTTCTCTACCCTCCTCAAACTTTCATACACACTGTTGTTATTGTTCAGATTAATGATTTTTGTTGATGGTGTAGGATATTTTTCGGGCCCCGCCTTCTGCTGCATTTTAAAATCTAAAAATTTTTCCATTCATATAGCATTTATAATAAATGCTCTATTCACTAACTATTCACTAACTTTTGCTTTATTATTTTAATAGCTGAAGAACAAAGCTGCAAATGTGCTACAGTTACATGCGAACTGAGTTGTTTATTATTGCCCGCATTTAAGATCACATAAAGAAGATTTATTTTGTGTAGTTTATTCTAAAATGCAATATTATTTAAAGATGGAACTCAACTTTCTTTTTAGGTTCAATTTTCATGCTATTTTTACATTTCATTTATAACTTATCTTTTCCAACATCGACAATTGTCTATTATATTAATGGGGAACGGGTTTTATGTGTACTTGAAATAATCATGGAGATCTTGTTTCTGTTCCTTTTTAAAGAATAAGTCATTTTATGGCCATCAACGTTCTACAGATAACTCAAAATGTTGCATTCAAACGGAAAATTTATCCACCTTATTGTGATTCATTGTAGCAGGGGTCAGAAATACCTTGCTTCAAATATATACAGAACATATAATCATATTAGTGTTCTTCATGGGCCATTTCAAGTGGCGCCTTCCCCACAGTCAAATTCCTTAGCGTCACAGTTAAAAAAAAACTCAGCGCCATCGTTCCACCACAGTTAAACTATTGGCGCCACAGTAAGGTCGTCGTTGTCAGAACGATAAATATTGTGATTTTTAAAAAATAAAAAAAATTTCTTTACCTCAAAACTATGGGTATGTTCCCATTTCGCCTTAACTGTGAAACTCGGGTAAGAAAAAGTTAAAAAGTACTAAGGCGAAATGGGAATTTTAGTATTTGTAAATATTAAAACTAAGCTGATATAAAAATTTAAATGTATAAATTTTTTAGATTGAATTTAACAATTAATTGGAATTTATGAATATTGGGAATGAAATTCTACATGTAATGCTAAAAATTACTTTATGCTTAATATATTAAATCTTCATCACCTTAATTCACCTGAGAGCTTACTAAGGCGAAATGGGAATGCTAAACTTTACAGTTAAGGCGAGATGGGAACAAGCCAAACTATGTACCGTTTTCCGTTTCAAATGCTAAACTCTTAATTTACTCTATTTACGGTTCATTGTTTGGTTTGTGCAATCAATTATCTTCTAGACCTCCTTCACGATAATTGCAAAGGGAGTTTAAATATTATTTAGTTTTTTATTATGCCTAAATAGTTTAAAAAGTTTACCATGTCTTTAACATTACACTTGCACTCAAGTTAAAGCATCGTATGTATTTAATGTGACCTACCAGAATCTCTTCTAGCGATCTTTATGTGTATATTTAACTTTAATACATAATCATTTATAAATAATGGTTAAATAACTTGTCATAAGATAGTATTGATACTTTTTTCAGATTTTATGAGCAAATATCTATTTACTTAGTACTTAAGTGTGTTTGGGAAGGGAGGGTCTTTTTCACAGTATATATTAACAGTTGTGGGAATAATAGAAATTTTCTTCTGCACTTTGTAAAATCGATATATATTTTTTTGAAATCATTATTTTTTTTATTTCATCAAACATTTTGCCAAATAATAAATGCTTTTTGTATTTAAATGTTAATTCATATGTGCTGTGTGATGAGGACAAGATTCACAGTTTGATAATTACAAGAATGCTTAAATTAATATGATATAATCGCTAAATTTGAAACCTTATCATCAAAACTAAAGAAAATAATTATTAAATACAAATTGTATCGAATATGAATTTATCTAGTAGCATTGGGGCTGTACAGGGACAAGGAATGTAGAGAATATCGCCAAAACGATAAGCGCATTCGTGATTTACATCAAAAGTGCAAGGGAATAGACGATTTTGTTTGAGCTGAAATTTGGATTATTTATTGCTTATATAGTGCATATTTTGAGCTGATCCTGGTCTGCATAACATGATTTTTATTGCTAACAGAATTTAAGGGAAGTGGAAATTTTTAGCTGTCATCTGCAATTTCGGCAAAATTTTCAGTACTTCGCAAACAACACAGACTAGATCCCTGCACTTTTTTGGTAGAGGAAATAAACACCTTTTATTATGTTTTAATTTTTTTTTCTTGAAAAACAAGCGTATGCCTTTGCACTATCCTCATTTCCTACATTCAGCTTAACGTTTCCATTTTTATACAATTCACATGACAAACAGCTGATACATGCAATATAACTGGAAATAACTATGGCCCCGTCCTATCCATTATTTACAGCTATATTACATTTTCTACAAGTATTCAGTTGCTTTGTTACAATTTCTTAAAAGAAGAAATACATATTAAAATGGTGCAAAGGTCACATTTTCTATATCGGTCCTAAACATAGCTGCGATGAAGTAGAAAGTCAAAGTTCAAACTTTGAATGGCTATATCTTCAACTAATTTGATAAACTTTTAAATCACGATTCAGGATAATGTTTAAATATAACGAAAGTAAGTTTTACAGTTCCAGAGTGGATTCATTTGAAAAAATATCAGAATTAATTTAGAATTCAGAATGTGTAGCACATAGATATTTTTTTTAAAGTACACGAAAACTAACAGAACTAACAAGTAAGGTGGTAATTAATAGATGGTGTGCTCCATACTGATTAACATACTGATTAAAGTATATGAAAAAAAAATATTGTATCAGAAACGATTTAATATACTGACACGCAAAAGAAACGCAACAAGCAGCAATCTTCAAATAGTTGAATTTTTTATCTAATGATTTTCAAAAAAGAATACAGTTAGGCTAAACTCGCTTTTCAGAACATCAGAGATTTGATAAAAATGTAAATGTTTATCATTTAACTTTACTAAGTAATATATGACTGTTAAAACACCCCCCTCCAAGCCATTCAATTACAACGTGCAAGACTGCCCTTAACAACAATTGCAGCTTAATTTCTACGATACAATAGGTTAATCAATATCGATATCTAACCGAAGGAATTATTCTTTGCAATTTTTAGATGTCCGTTTTCAGATGATTCGGTCGAATTTTCTCTAACTTACCCATTGTAGTAACCCTTGGACTTCCGGTCCAAGGACTATCATTTATGCATATAATACATAAGACTTTGGTGAGGTGTAATGCATTGTATTTTTGCATCATCAACTCTCCATCACCTTTATGTTGAGATTTTCCAGTTAGAGCAATGGAAATGCGTACTTAAACCATTTTTGAGAAGCCTTAGTATCGTTACGGGAAACTAAAGGAGATTTTATTTTTTGAAATATTGCTGCATTACTTAAGATGAGCAGTACAAATCCTTAAAACTACATAATATTTCCAAAGGTTTTGTTAAACATGAAATTTTTTATTTCTGTTAAGCAGACTCAAACTTGACTTCCGGTTATGGTACGAAAATCGTTCAACCGTTAAATTACCGATATTTACCAAATTGAAGATAACCATAATATTAAGATACAAAATTCTTTTCTTTACATAGTTATTTCCTCCTAAAGTAGGGTGTTGCGTTTCTCATGCGTGTCAGTATAGTATGCATGTAACATAATATTTCATAGGAAGTGGAAGAAAAAAATTATTAGAATTACAATTTTATGTCTGAAAGTTTTAATCGAAACATACAATCAATATTTCTAAAAAAATAAACTTCATACCCTGTTTTATGAGAAATAGTATTTCAAACAAACTGAAATGTATACTACATATAATCAATACAAATAAATTTAATTAACAAGCATATATATTTTTAACAGAAAAAATGAACAAAATTAAATAATAAAAAAATCGACAAAAATGACATGCAAACATATTTTTATGCATAAATATATACTGTCTACAAAAACTTACAAGTAAGAAGTAAATAATATCTAAAATGTATGAGATTTTTTTTTTTTTTTTTGCTTAGATTATACAGGAAAACACATTTTAAACTGTCAATCCTTCCATTACTAGAAACGAT